TTTACTTTATCATCCACACACTTTTCACATAGACACTCAACACACTCGACCTCGGGGACAATTTTATTGGTGCTGAAGGAGCACAATATCTTGGCAATGCTTTACAGATCAATAAAGTAACAACACTACTTGTTCTTCTTCCTCTTCACTACACTTCATCATTCACACTTTTCACACAGACACTCACTAGACTCGATGTCGGACGGAATAACATCGGTCGTGATGCAAATAAACGACTTCGGAAAATATGCGAAGACAATATACGACTAGAAACAACTGACTGGTGAAAATGATTAGTATTGGTAGCAACCATAAATAGAAATACTTTTACTTTTAATATTTATAAGATTTTATATCGATTCAACAAATATATGTGATATGTTGCAGCAATAGGAATTTTGTTTTCTTGTGTTCATAGTTAGTAAATACTACAGGACTGTAGCGATGCTTAAAAGTGTATCAAGTAAAGCTAGGTCTAAAGTGTGATTTTTGTTGCGAGGTTACTTGAATCACTGGTTGATGCCTATCTAATAGCAGTTGCTTCACGTGGAAGAATGATAGAAGGAGGAAGTTTATGAAATAGTTCGCATGTTTTTATCGTAGGATTTTAACAAAAAAGGCATTTTCCGATTGAGAGACTGATGGTGATCGTATCTAAAGGAAGAAATATCCGTTATGTTCACTATGGCGCATGTAAGATTGTTTTCGTAGTATTAGTTTTATTTGAAAGTGATAGTAAATATTAGTGGGGCGAAGACATTTCAAAACGTGCACGCTTGCAATATGTTAGTGACAAGTGGTCAACGTATAAGTGCCTGTTTATTTAAAATGAAAAGCTCTCATGCAATATTTTATGTATGAGAGATTGATTAGCTATTAGAATTTTTGAATATTTTAGAGTTCATATATTTAACTTTTCAGATCCATGAAATTTTCAAGCAACTGGAGTTGTATATCCTTTCGATATTAATGAGTAGAGTTTTGTACTGCAATATTTTGAAAAGTATACATTGAATTCCGTTAAATGTTCTGAAGTTACTGATGACTACTACATTAATCCATACATATATTGTATAGCTGAACTTTTAGTTTAACCGGATATTATAAGAAAAGTAATATTTTGAGTGCAGTTCTAGACAAACGATTAAAACTCCCCACTCATATGTGGTAAACATAGGCAAATATGAAGTTTTCTTTTTCGAAGAATGGTTTACTTAAAACTAAAGAGAAGAAGCCGAACATTTCAGAATGATAGATATACTCGCTTCAAGAGAATAACAGCTGAAGTTCAGTAGTCTAGAAGTGTATCTACAACTAATCTTCATGCTATAATCCCAATGACCATGACTTTTTTGTTTTTACCTTAAATAAAACTGAACATTCAGCTCTCCATACAAAGAACTCGACTGATATTTTAATATATCATTGATTATTATTGGATACATAATGAATTATGTTATTTTAGGCGAGTCTTACAATGCTTTACATATATCGCTGAGCTTCGATTTTTATAGTCTGAGAAGTATGTAGACAAACTGTTGTGTTCTCTTTGTCTTTTAAACGAATAATACATGAATACCGTAAGTAATTCTCTATTCGATAAAATTTTAGTTTATTTATACTTTGCTGTCGATTGACTAATTATGAAGAGATAAATGATCATATGAAACACTTACATTCATTGTTAGAGTAATCTCAACTTTAATTGAAAAAGGACGTGGTAGGTAGTGCCATTTTTACTTTCGACCAATGTAGGATGAACCATATTTCGCTAAAATTCAACTTATACTGACAAGCGATCGTCAAATATCAGAAATATTTCTTCTCTGAACTAAAATATGGATAGATATTAGTATTCTCGAAGCAAAACCAACAATAATTACACAATCACAGCTTCACCCACCCTCAGATATTAATTATATTTTCATCTGATGAAATCTAAATATTGGAGAATGCATTCAGACCGACTAACGAAAGTCTAAGATGAATACGTCTGCTTCGCTCTATAGGTAAATTCGAAAGTGGTGTGTCGTTATTCGTCGACAAATAAATGAATCATACAAAAAGGTAAAGCTACACTTACATCTCGTCTGAAATGATTCAGTCAATAAATAGCCGTTAGTGTAGAAAGAAAAGAAAAAAGGGAAAAAACGTTGTGAAATAACATGCATCATTCTCTCAACAAATATATGATTTTTTTACAATTCTTTCGTCATAATGATGTCATTCGTTTCCTTTTTCATGTTTTTACCAACAAAATTATAAATATAAATATTATATGATCGTGTATTTTTCATTTATAACGAAACTTGATTACTAACAATAATATTCAGTAAGACATAAGAGAATTATAAATTTTACATTTTTTCATTTACTTATATATGTTTAATTTATTATTAATCAACGATTGCTTTTAGATAAAAATATTTAAAATTTGAATAATTTATATAATAGAATCAAATGAATACATTCGCGATCAAATTTCTAGATGGTCATATTATTGTTAACCTCAATCAATTCGATTATGTTATCGATACTGGCTCTCCAATGTCATTTGGAAGTGGAACAAATATTATTATCAATGGAATACATTTTCCGATACCAAATGCTGACATAAGTGGAGTTACAGCTGATTCACTCAGTAAATTAAGTGGTCTAAAGATCGATGGATTGATTGGTATGAATATTCTCAAGAATTTCGATATTCGATTTACTCGAACTCATATTACTTTTTCCAATACACCTTTTCTTCATGGAGATACAGCAATCAAATTACCTATCATAGATATGATCATGACCATTCCTATTATAACTTTGAAAATTGAAAATACAAATCATAGATTATATTTTGATACTGGTGCTAAAATATCGTATCTGAGTGATGATCTTCTTATTGGCACATCTATTGGTGAAATGGATGATTTTCATCCTATGATAGGTACTTATAAAACGAATGTTTACAAAATTGATGTTAACATCAATGGGAACGTGGAAACATTGACATTTGGCTCATTACCCGCATCACTTCGTATGTTATTAACGATGGGTCGAGCGAAAGGCGTCCTTGGAACTGAACTATTAAACAAATATTCCATCATTCTCTCTAACTTAAACAAAGTCTTGGTGTTAGAATTGGCTGGTGAGGAAACTTCTTTCGATCAGCATCAAAACTCAATCATTGACGAACCAAGTTTAGATTAATATCAAATCTTATGATTTTACTTGTTTTCTTTTTTACATATTATTATTATCTGATATCTTTTGTTTTAATACAGATGAAATACATATGAAACGAGGATAATTATGCTAAGAAAGTGTTGTTTTTTTACCAGAAAAAAGGGGTGGGTGTGAATATTATAATCATCTTTCACCCTCATCCTTATTGAACGTTTGACGTGAAGATGAAAAGTACATAAGAAAAAGAAATTATTTACTGTCAAGATGTATTATTGTTAGGTATTCAAAATCTATATGCGATATTTTAATATAGATTTAATAAGAAACATTATCGATGTATAGATATATTAAATAATCTTTATTCTTCAAATATAATCACTTTTTCTTAATATCAAATAAAGTTTATCATTAAAAAATAATGCAGAATAATTGATTTATTAAATGTCTACTGAATTTGAAATCTCTTTATGAATAATTTTGAAAAACGAATGTTCAAATTGTACGGGTTTACAATTCGACGATTATTTGCATTAGAAACATAATGAATCTTTTTCGTTCTACTTCTTAATATCAAATATATTCATTAATGATACCTAACAATGTTGCTATTCATATTTGTTTTCTTACCGGCGAAACTCATTCAATGATGCTAATGACAAGAATAAAGAAATTACGAATATACGAAATTATTTTGAAATATTTCATACGTAAAAAACCTTACTCATTTAAATGTAAGTCATGCATTCATGATCGAACCTTTATGACGTCAATGTAAAACCATCAATGCAATTACTTATTACGCATGATTGCTATAGTGTTTTATATTAATCTTATTTACGCATAAAAGTATCTCATTTAACCTATAAATACCGATACAATTCAATGAGATTTTATTCATACAAACACAAATATGTACAGAAGGTTAGTTACTATATGGACTATAATTGCAATGTTATATTTTATCACAATAAATGGTGCTAGTATTGGTGCAAGTGATATTGAAACAGGACAAGTCCAATTAACTCAAGATCAATGTAATGGATTAGTTGAGTGTGATAAAAATGTTCTTGAAGTAGAACGAACAGATAAACATCAATATACTGCTGTGAAATTGGTATCATATGATTTGATTATTAAACCACCAACTGATTGTTGGACAAGTTACAATAAATTTATGACTGCAAATATACAAAAATTCAAAGATTGGGCAAATAGAAATTGTCGTAATTATATTGGTTGTTGGTGTTGTCCACAAGGAGGTTTATGTGTTACATTTATTGTTAAATTTGATTTTTGGCATTGTTTTATAATTCAACCACCTATACTTGTAAAAACATTACCTGTATTTGAACCGGAATCAGAAATTGCTGCTCAATAAGTTTATATTTTTTTTCTGCTTTGTCTTATTTCAATAAAATTCATTTTACTAAATATCAAATTTCGATAATTATGTTATCCATATTCAAAAGCTAGACTGAAGAACTTTGGAAGAGAATGTGTGATAGACATGATCATAGTTGTTACACTTGTATATATTGAAAAATTAAAACATAGTTTTATCAACGAGAAGAAAAAATATTTTGAATTAAACGATAGATTCAACATCTTTTTACTACTATTTTATTTAAATAAATCACAGTTAATATGGAATGACGTAGTAATGAAAAATCTGAATGTAGTCTGCATTTAACGAAAGTTCGACAAAATAAAAAATTAGTATTTCACTTACTGGAAATGCCATCTCGTATTATGTTGATAATATTGAATTCCATCTGCAAAAGACATCAAGGGTAAATATTAAACGAATTGGAATTGAATCAAATGATCGATCATTAGGATCTTCGATGACAGTTGATTCAAATTTTCATACTATTATCAGTTTAGGATCAGTAATTTATTTAACAATAGCTAATAAAAATATTTGAAATTAATATATTAGTGTAATCATTGTAACAGAATCTGTATATACACATAATACTGAAACAATTATATTAGTATATCTTCTTCTTATTTATTTATTTATTGTTGTGGAATAAATTAATTTTTTATATATTTTAAAATGTACTTTTTAGTTGTTTTTTTTCTGTTCTTATAAACCGCGTACTTTGGACGCGCATATATATATATATATTTGAATGATACGAAAGTTAAAGGAATGTAATACGACCTATTGTGTTTTTTTTCTCTTCGGCATACACGACGGTTAGGCACGTGTTGAGTAGAATAAAAAAATGCTACAAACTTTTTCAAAATCAAGACCAACATATACTATATTAGCTATTCGATCAATCTTATTCGATCATGCGAAGACATTTACATATAAAACACGTATGAAAACATTTTTTAATGATGGAATTAATTTAAAAGAACAATCTGTTGAAATTAATTCGACTGAACATATTCGTCGATGTTCACTTCATAAAGATGATGATATATGGAAATTATATAAAACAATGTGTCCTAATGTGCGAACCATTGGTGATGCTTTACATGAAGGATATAGTATTTCCAATGATGGACCATGTGTTGGTTTTCTTTCACCATCAAACGATATACAATGGTTATCCTATTCTACAATAATCGAACAAAGTCAACGCATTGGTTCATATTTATGGACACAAACAAAATTAACACCAAAACAATCCAAAGTAGTATTTCTTTCATCAAATAGACTTGAATATTTATTAGTTGAACAAGCATGTTATATGTATGGATTTATTGTAGTTAGTTTATATACTACTTATAATAGTGTAGCTATTCAAAATATTCTTGAAAGAACTCAAGCTGAAGTACTTGTTGTTGATAATATCGAACGTATTCAATCATTAAAAGATGATCTATTGAAAAATAATCAAATAAAAGAAATACTTGTTATGGATAAAATAAATAATGATGAAAATAGTAAAATTCGATCTATTTCATCAATATTAGAAACAATGAAGAAAACAGATATATGTCAACGACCAAATATAGATCCACATGATATTGCAACATTTATTCTAACTAGTGGAACTACAGGTAATATTCATGTCAATAAATAGAAATAGAAGTCATTATTGTTTGTTTTTAGGAGAACCAAAAATTGCAATGCTATCCCATGAAAATTTCTTAGCATCAACCAAAGGTAATCTTATTCGTTTATATAAAGCTAATCTAAAAAAACCAGTAACCAATCGTCATTGTTCATTTTTACCGATGGCTCATGTCTTCGAAAGATTTGTTATCTTACAAATTCTATTAAAAGGCACAGAAGTTATATTTTGTCCAGCACCTGAAAAACTCATTGAATATTTATCAATAGTAAAACCAACTCAAGCGTCGGTTGTTCCACGAATTCTTAATAAAGTCTATGATACAATTATGGCTGATGTTAATAAAAGTAAAATCAAACAATTTCTTGTTCAACAAGCATTACGTGAACAACCACCATTGTTATCACGTTTAATTTTTCGTAAAGTTAAAAATTTATTTGGTGGAGAATTAAAAGCAATGATCACTGGATCAGCACCACTTTCATCGGATGTTATGCATTTTTTTCGTATCGCACTCGATATACCAATCATAGAAGGATATGGACAAACTGAAACAACTGCTGCTGGTACAACAACACATCCAATCGATATGTCCTATGGTACAGTTGGTTCACCTGGACCCAACGTTGAAATAAAGTTAATCGATGTACCTGATACAAACTATCGAAGTGAGAAGAATCAAGGAGAAATTTGTTTTCGTGGACCAACTATTTTTAAAGGTAATTAATCGTTAGTATTGACTCGACAACATTTTTTTTGCTCAATAGGTTATTATAATGATGAAGCAAAGACACGAGAAACTATTGATAGAGATGGTTGGTTACATACAGGTGATATAGGAGAATGGACAAGTAATGGAGCATTGCGTATTATTGATCGTACTAAACATATATTTAAATTAAGTCAAGGAAAATATATTGCACCCGAACGTCTTGAAGATATTTATATTCGTTCTCAATGGATTGCACAAATATTTATTGATAGTCTTTCAACGGAATCAACAGTTATTGGCATTGTCATACCTGATGAAGAATATATACGAAAAAATTATCAATCAGCTACTAGTGAAACAACATTTGCTGATTTATGTAATGATTCAAAATTAAAAGAAATAATCTTATCTGATTTAGTTCAGTTGGGAAAAAAACAGAAGTTAAAGTATTATGAAATACCGAGTAATATTTATCTTCATCATGAACCATTCTCGCAAAAGAATGGACTACTTACAATAACATTTAAAACTCGACGAATCAATGCTCGAAAACAATTTCAATCAATTATTAAATCATTATATGAAGAAAATCCACCCATGAAAATCAAGAATTAATAGAAATTATTTTAAACTGAACTACATTTTATATTTATCATTTTATTTGCTTACTATCTTTTCATCAGAAAATAAAAGCTATACAAGATTTACGTAATGCATTACTAAATAATTAAGTAAATATATTGCTATTTTTATTATACCACATCAACATTTACATATCTCGCTTTCTATCTCCAAAAATCAAATTAAAGTTAAAAGTCAAGAATTTCTTGAGAAATTAAGTACGAATTTGTGCTGAATGAAATATTTCAATTATCTAGATTTTAATATTGTATGATATATAACGCCATCCGTTTTATAATATCGTCGATAAGTTAATTAGACTATCCAATAGAATTCTTCATCTCTTCTAAAATCACAATAAGAAACAAGTCATTGTATTTGTATCACATATTTGAAACAGAAATAAAATATTCACGTCGTTAAAAAAAACTTTTTTATTGAAAAAGAATATAATAATTCAATAGTATCTTGTAAATTAAAATCGTATTGTTTTGATTTTTATTCGTTGTAGGTATCGACAAAAATTTTCTTTTTGAGATACAGCAAGTAATATCATTTCTCGTTTGATCGATTATTCGGTATCATATTTTAAAGTGCTCTCTTATAAGAGGAAACTATTTATATAAATTGTTTTAGATTTCTATTAAAATTTTTAATTAACATGTCATCAGTGCTTCAGACTCTTAGTTCTACTGCTCCATATCATCTTCTATCGTATGCATCTTTAATTGGTGCAACTCTCTGGCATTCATTCGTCAGCAGTCTAATTGCTCGTAAAACTTTACCTCGTCCACAACTCGGTCAACTTCAAAGCAAGTTATTTCCTATTTATTTCTCTTTACAAACTGCTCTTAGTGGTATATGTCTACTAACAACAAGAAATCGAAATGCTCAGATCATTTTCGTCATTGGCATTGTCGGTGGTTTGATCAATCTTATTGTGTTTGGGCCATGGACAATAAAGTATGATATAATTATTACTTTTCATCTTATATGTAACACTATTTATAAGCAGACTGATGAATAAACGATTTACAATGGAACGTGACGAGGGTAAGCAATACAACGAACCAGACATTAGCAGTCAATTCAAAGCATTGAACAAACAATTTGGAATGGTTCATGGATGTAGTATGATGATTAATATGATTATTGCAATCTCACTTGTTGTTTATCCATTTATTGTATCTCTAGTCATTGTTTGAAACATTAGCAACACTGGTTTCTCTTCATTTTTACATTTAATTTCTCTTTTTTATATCATTAACAACGAAGAAAAAAGTTTTAATTTTCGTCGACAAACTGCTCATTTCATCACCTGTAATTATTAATTGATCTGATTCAAGATTTCATATGAAATGTAATGAGCTTTTAATTCTACTAACTTTTTTACTTCAAATAAAATGATCAATGAACTTCTATTACTTATTATTTAGCTATTATCATTAAAAGAAAAAATAAGGCTTAGCCGGTATGAATGATAACTATAGACGGCTTCATTGAATCGTTCACACAAACTTCGAATGCAACAAGGATATTAAAATAATATTAATGATCAAGAATACGGTAGACAAGTTTTATCGGTAAAATGTAAAAAACGAAACCATGATTAGAATAGACATTTAAAAACTGTTAAGATATGTTTTGAGTTGCTTTTCTTATTTTCTTAATAAACGAAATTTCTTATGATGATGTAATGATTATTAGGAAGAAAGATATGTAAAACAATGTTGTCCATAACGAAGTCGAGATGAAAGGTGTTATGGTAGAATATCTTTATCCACCTACCTGTTTTGCCTTTTATTAAGACAGTAATACGGTTACTCTTTTTAAGCGTTTGTATTGAGATCTATCCATTAAAAACTCTTCCATGTGTACAAAGGAGGGTTTGGTGGAAAATGTCGAAAAGGAAAACGCCGAAAATAGTAAAAGAAAACTTTCATATAGGGATATTTTCTTTATCTTTTTTCGATATTTTCGTATTCGACGTTTTACTTTTCGACATTTTCCACCAAACCCTTCGTGGGTGTCGGTATGAGCTGGAAAAAAATACAAAAGACCAACTACTTATACAATCATACCTATGCCAACACCCTATTATTCGTTCGTAACTGTTCGTCAATTGAACGGCATGATTGATGAAATTTGATTTTTCTATTATTATTATTACGTGTGAGCATAAAAAATTTTGTTGGTGTAATATTTTCATATTTTCGTCGAAAAAAGCAAGAAAATGTTTCTTCTTCCTTTTTTGACTGTGTAAATAACCGAAAAGGATATGAATCACATGCATTTTTTGTTGGAAAAAAGAATCTATATTGAATAAATTATTCGCTTAGATTGATGAAAGATTGAAAAAATTTGTAACAATGTCATCTGTGCCACCAAGCTACTCTACCATTTCACTATGCAATCCACCAGAATATGCGATCTCAATATTAAATGTAACACCTTCGTCGCCTCTGCCATATGATAATCCAATTGATAGTATCGCGACAAATCAGTCTCGAGAAACAGTAAATATATCGGTGGTATCAGTAGCAGAAAATCATGCTAAGAAATGCATCAGACATTACTGTGCGTGTCTATGGATCTTATTTCTAATCTTGATTTCTCTTATGCATCTCGTTTTATTTGGTATTTGCTGTAAATGTACTCTACCCAAATCTTCTTTAGCCGGTATACGCGCATTGTTTTTCATTCATGTTATTTTTATGGTGGGCATGACTATTTACTGTTGTCACAAATATAAAACTAAGAGCTCATTCACTTTGATAGGTTGTCTTTTATCTACTTTCGTATTTTTGGCAATTCCTTGCGTAATGGGTGCATTCGTATTACTACATTTCATTATTGATGATTTGACTGAATTAAATTCAGTTCTTAGAAGTCCATTATCTAATAATGACAATTATCCATGTTCCTTATCGTTCTATTGGCTTGTCTTTGTTGTGACGATCTGCAACTATACTTTAGCTCCAGTATATGCAGCTATAGTATGTATAAGTGCTATTTGTTTGCGAAAGCTGCTTCAATTCATCCGATAACGAACATTTGCTACATAATAACGCAAGTTCAACTAGAAACAGTGAATCAACCTTCGTATAACTGAATTCAAGACAAAACACTTATTAGTTAGAAGTGTCGTAAATCAATTGTGTCTCACTAAATATAATATGGCTTATACTTAAATGCAAAGTATTTTTAAATAAATGCTAAGTAAAAAAGTGTAATTTTCTATATGAATTATTATAAACTAATAAATAACTACATGAATTTTGCTTCGTAAAAATTGTTGAATAACTAAATGAAAAATTTAATTGCACAGTTATTGTATCAATAATGCTTTTTTGGTCGTTCTCTTTCTCTTTTTTCTCCGTTTTGCGAGAGCGTTGGCTGAGAGTGTGGGTACGAATGTGATAAAAATATGATACCTACACCCGCACCCTCAAGAATTCTCTGGAATGTGATAATTAGACAGGAAGAAAATCGTCGAGAAAATACTATTGATTATCTATAGTCAATATAGTAAACAGAAAGAAAAAAATGAGCACCTGAATGTACGAGAAGAATAAATATACATAGTCGCTCATGATTAAAGAAGGAACGAGAAAATATAGACGTCATCATAGAAGTATAGAAAGTTTGATTTAATATTTTAGAATTATTTTGTCTTTATAATATAAATTACTTAATAATGAAATTTGTTACCGATCAAATGTAGTGTATTACTATGATTTCAATTTATTAACTTATTCGAATATTAATACTTTAACTTAGCAATTAGTTTTTTTTTCACTAAGAAACTTTCAATTTACTTAGCATCTAATTATTCTACTTAGATTTAAATTATTTATTGAGCAAATATAAATTTTATTTAGCAAAAGTCTACTACGCATTTAAATACTTTTACTTCGCAAATAAATTATTGCCACAAGAAAATAAAAAAATGTTTCCTCTTCCTTTTTATGAACTGTGTAAGCAACCAAAAAGGACATGCGTTACATGTAATTTTTGTTGAATAAATTGTTCGCTTGGATTGATGAAAGATTGGAAAATTTAAAACAATGTCATCTATGCCGCCAAGTTACTCTACCATTTCATTACGCAGCCCACCAGAGTATGCGATTGCAATAGTACATATAACATCTTCTTCGCCTCCGCCATATTATAACTCAATTGATCGTATAACGATAAATCAATCTCGTGAAACAGCGTATGTACCAATACCAGTAGCAGAAAATCATGTTAGACAATGCATCGGACGTTACTGTGCGTTTGTGTGTATCTTCTTTCTAATCTTTATTTTCTCTTATGCATCTCGTTTTATTTGGTATTTGCTGTAAATGTACTCACAAGACACTTATTAATTAGAAATGTCGTAAATCGACTGCATCTCACTAAATATAATATTATATGTTCGATCACTTTTTTATAAACCTATATATGTATCACATACGTACATATATTTTTTTCTTATTATGATTCGGTTTTGCTTGACTTATGTTTTCTTGAAGATATGGGTGTGTGTGAAGGCCTTCATTACACCCACATCCTTACTATCTAGCTACCAATGTATAGAGATTGTTCAAAGCGAACACTTATATGAAAATAATACCTTCGAAAAGAAATATAACAAATAGTTTATGTATAATAATTATAGTTCATATTTATTCCGAGCTTTTATTTTCAAATTGTTTAATAGGTTTTCTCAAGAAACAAAGTTCTAAACCATTCTGTTTGGGAACGCCATACTTCCCGTGTTCCGCTGGAAATGGTTCACGTCGACCTGTATCAATATATCCTCGACGATGGTAAAATGCTATTAATTCAGTTCTAAGAGTAATAGTTGACATTTCAATATATTCCACATTCCAATTATTCAATGCGTAATTTTCTGCTGTCGATATAATGAATTTGCCAAAGCCTTGAGTTTGTAGATCTGGTCGAACAGCTAACATACCCAAAAAAGCACACTTATTTGTTTGGTCATGTTTCAAATGAACACATCCAACTAGAATTTTCGAATTTTCATCAAAAAATATGAAAACAACTTCATGATTGCTATTAATTATCTCAGTTAACATTCCTGCGTCTACTCTTTGACCTTCTAAGAGTGACTCTGCGCTAGTCCATCCTTGACGAGATGAGTCACCACGAGTGCTGCTATTGACTAACGAGACAATTGATTCGCAATCCGATAACGTAGCAATGCGGTAAGTCAATGAAGGACATGATTGCGCTGTGCTAACATGTTGAATGGATTCTTTTGATGCTGTGACACTCATTTTAAAAAACAGAATTGTTATGTAATTCTTGATTTGAAATAGCACAATTCAGTATTTGACTAAAAATCTAAAATCGAGATCAGTTCATATTACAAATATTATATTAATGAATTGAAAAGATTGTATATTCTTCTTGATTTTCAAGTTGTATTAAGGTAGAGATAATAATATACGCACATTTTATTCTTCTTGTCTTGTGCCAATAAAAATAACAACTTGATGAAAAAAAAGGTAGTGAAACAAAGGTATAATATGATAAAGAAAGATAAGAAAGAGAAGAACAGTGAGTGGCTAACAAAAAAAACAAATCAAACGAACAATATGAATATGATTGAGATGTAGTTAATATATTCATATTTGCATCGACATCTATCCTTAATTTTTATATAATAGTGAAATTGTACACGCGTAATATTTTTGTGATTTTACTTAACTGTTACTTTATCATATCTTGACGAAATCTTTTTTTTGTTTATTTTTCTGGAGAATAACGTCAAAATTTATTCAAAAAAGATTGATATTTATTGAATAGTTGAATAGAGAAATGACTTGAACATGTAGGTATAGATTATCTAGTGTTTACTTTACTCCGAACCACATCTGCGCATACATTCGAACGTCTACTAACCTAATGTGATCCTCGTACACACTCTGTATAGTTAAAATATTTTCATAGTAGTATATAAACTATACAGAACAGAAAATGTATTACTAATACCAGAGAATATGAAGAAAAAGTAATAAAAAATATAAATATAAATATTACCAACAAAAACTAACTTATGATTCTACGCATTCTTTCTCTTCTTTTCTATATATATATTGTGAATAATATTCTTAGAGTTAGAAAATAAAAAACATTGTATTCAATGTCGTTTTTTCTTACTTCTATATCTCTACTTGGCATCGACGTGATCATCGTGAGTATATCTCAATCATACCAACACCCTTCAGAAGAAAAAAAATTATTATCAGCATATTGTGACCGTTTCTGATGAAACTACGCTTTTATGTATTTCTTTGTCTCAAGAATCGCATCGTTTTGATACAAAACACACACTTATATACTCGTCCATCAAATAGAAATCGAAGTGAGGACATAAAAAGGTTAACCCATTAAATGAGAAGAATCGAAAGGATATATAGCATTCGTACAGCGCATGCAAGTGAGAGCGTCACACATATGCTGATAAATAGTTCCTTTTTTGATCATATTCATCATTGAATCTCCTCTCATATAGACTGATCATGTATATTTTAATTAATTATTTAAAACCAGTTCATCTCAGTCAATCCAACATTTCACATAAAAATCACCTGTCCAACCACTACTACAACTAATCCAGCATCGTCTTTGAGCATTATTTTGTAACCATTCAATTAATTCAGGTTCCGTATTATATGAGGATCTTGCGTCGTTCTCAGTAGTGTTTTTCATGGTACCTAATTTTCGTTTTTGAATGCTTAACTTTCTCCAGAGAGAGTTCAGTCCATCTCTCATAGAGTTTGTTTTCCGTGTCAGAAAGTTTCGACGTAAGTGCTTGACTGGTGATGATTGCATATCATCATCATCTTTAACGTAAATTGTCATTGCTCTCAAATTGATCATTGTACGTATAAGATTCATCACACTTGCTCGCGATCGAATGTGAATTTCAAGAACTTCACATTGACGTGCAAGTGATGATCTAGCAAATGCAGCGCAATCGGCATCATCAAAAAAATGTGTATCCGGTAAAAGACACGGAATAAATACAAGCTGACGAATTGATACACTTGTAAGTCTTGATACAACTCGTAATGCTGATAAATTCTCATCTTCGATCATTAATGTATAAAGATGAGGCGCTTGATCTAATAGAGTTTGAAGATTAAACGAAGTATCTCCTTCCGATAATGATACACTTAATGAAGTCAAATGATTAAATGTTGGTATGACGGACCATAGCTTATCGGGTAATGGAAGATTGGTTTTAATATCATGAATGTTAGGCAAGTAGATAGAGTGTATATCAAATGGTTGTTTTATGGAAGTTCGAAAAGTGAGTTTTTGCACGCGATCAAATATCCAGTACATTGTATCCTCAGGACAAGTCCACTTCGATTGTTTATACGCTGTACCAGTAAATAGATCGAAGGTATATGGTAAGGTATAAAGACAGCCCGAACTCGATGTGAAATCAGAGTACCAATCACATCGAACATACCATTGATGTTCATCAAGCCAAAATGGAGTTCGAAATGTATCGAGTAATTCATCAATTTCCTTTTCTATACCATGGCTATTTAATCCATAAATAGGCATACGAAATCGAAGTGTCTTGAGCTTGGTTAAATGCTCGACTATAATCTGTTTCCATTCATGACCATTCATGTAATTATCAATCATATCGATTGTTAAATTATGTAAATTAGACATATTTTGAAGAAAACTATTTAATGCACGTGTCGTACCATAAAACTGGAGTTTTAATGTAGTAATTGGTGTAAACATGATTGGCAATTGTTCATTCTCATCCTCCGATTCAACAGTTATAGAAAGAATTCGCATACTAGGAGTATGTTGTAATATCTGAATTATATTATTAAATGAACATCCCATACCCGCTTGAATTGAGAGATGTTCAATAGTAGATGACATTCCTAATAATCGACTAAAATCAATCTCAAGTAGATGACAACGCTCCAAACCGAGATATGTGAGTTTCGGTAGATTCCAGATTTGATTGATCGAATAAGACGCATCTCGTGGTATAATAGACATATTACATTCACTGATGCTTATATGACACAGACGTAACAGACGATGTCGATCACCTAGCAACTTAATTACATTTATGTAATCAATACGATATAATGCAAGTTTTTTCAAATGAATAAATTGATCGATAAGAAAACCATGAAAGAAAAAACGATGAAGCAAACCTGGAGTTTCATTATAATCTGCTAGATGAAGTGAAATAATACGATCAATGATTAGAAAAAGATGTTGTTTACATAGAATATTGAAATCTTGTTTAGATATGCGTCGTAGATCGAGATGATATGCTCGAAAATATTTGTAAAGTAATTTGTCAAATCGAGAATTAAGAAGACAGAAAGCAGCAAGTAGATGACAAGCATCAAAATATTCAAAACAATTAAGCAATAATTCATTGGGTAATGATTCGAACAAAGTCATTTTCTATATTTCTGCGTGAAAAATAATTTTTTTTATCAAAAAATATATATCGACAATTGTTCTCCTTATTCTTCATAGTAGACCATGGTTTGGCGTTCTTTTTTATTTTATTTTAATGTTGCTCAACAAATAAGATGTTTTTTTCTTTTCTTCCACAGAACAACGTCAGGAGAACTAAACAGAATAATAAATGTACGTCGATTCTGTCGCTGTCGTACGCGATGTTTACTAAACAGCGCATATATTTGAGATGCCACGTGGTACGAAGAAGTAAAAACAACAGAAGAGGCTAGCAGCCATCTGCAGAAAGCAAAGAAAAGGAAGAATGAGAGTGAAACTCGTATTTCTCTTCCTATCAAATGCCAAAAATTTACAATTACGACAAAGAACTGTAAAGAATCATCATATTACTCGAAAAATTATTAGTAAAATCTGACCTGGTGAGTAGATGACCGTCCCGCTATGCGCTTAAATTAAGCATATCCATCCGCACCCCACCCTTATTTATATATCCCAGTGAAAAATTGTCAAATTATACCTTATTATGTAAGATTATAATCGATTGAAATCTTTCAAATCAAATATAATTTTGATTAAAATCATACAAACTTGATTTACTTTATTTTTAATCAGAATTGCATGGTTTTAATCAAAATTATATTTGATTTAGAAGATTATTGTTGATTTGAAAGATTTCAATCGATTATAACCCTGATTTTGTTGCACAAACATTCGATTATAATCTTATGTAGTGAGGTTTAGTTTGACAATTTGCCGCTGGGATAAACAATCTTAATCATTCAGCGGTGATTTATTCGAGTACGAGTACGATTACAGGTAACCCATACTCAAGTACGAGTACTTAGAATGTTATTGTCCACCTCTGTTATAGGCTATGTGTGTGACTTTTCAATTTAGTGTTAGACATCATAAATGTTCTTCGACATGAACGTGCAAGTTCATTATAGTTTATACTTTAGGATGATTATATTTCTTTTTATTATAACTTTGTGTACTCTTCATTTTAATCGTTTTTTCTGATGTTTTTATTCTGTTATATTATTTTTCTTTTCTCTGTCGATGGGAAGGGGAAATGTTATGGCATGATATATCTCGTGCTATAAAGAATGCTGATTGTCTTTCATTTCCTCACGTACTACTGATATCTTTGAGTATTTAAGGAGTGAATATTGTGAAGAGAGAGAGAGATATGATTCTTGTTTTATGAAAGAGGAAGAACAAAAAGGAGCGATAACACCGTTCGCTTTACATTTGCACTAAATTGTTCGTGAAGTTCGTTTTTCTTTTTTCTTTATTTACTACATAAGAACAAGTAACACGCAAGTTTGATATAAATAGAAAGTTAGATAAATTCTTTTCAATGTTATCATTGTGCACACATGCCATCTTTACATCTATTTAAAAGGACAAGCATGAAAAAAAAAAGATTTTCTACACTGGTATTTCATATTCTTAGAACTAAATCGCAATGCTGAGGATATAATAAGATTTTTTTCAAATCAATATAATTTTTTATGTTATATATTCATTCATATATAGAATAAGATTAAAGTCCATTGATCAAAGCTATACTGATATAGAAGTCACTTCAACAGCATGAATTCTATTAATCAAAATGTATATCGAGAACCATTACCTACAATTAAAGATTGGCTTACAAGCAAAATAAACAATCCGAAAGAAAAAATTAAAAATTATTTTCTTTCATTATTTCCTTTTCTAACTTGGATCTATCGATACAATTTAGTTTGGTTTTGGAGTGATGTCATTGCTGGTCTTACAGTCGGTGCTGTTGTTATACCACAAGGTATGGCTTATGCAGGATTAGCTAAATTAGCACCACAATTTGGATTATATAGTTCATTTGTTGGTGTCATGATCTATTGGTTTTTCGCAACGAGTAAAGTAAATAATTACAGATAAATGAAAAACATCAATATAATTTTCTAATTTTTTAATAGGATGTTACTATCGGACCTGTAGCTGTAATGTCAATATTAACAGGAACTATTCTGGATGATGTTCATAAAATTCATCCTCAATATGAATTACATATAATTGCTTCTGCTCTTGCTATTATTATTGGATGTATTGTTTGTGCATTTGGAATATTTCGTATTGGTTTTCTTGTTAATTTTATACCATTACCAGCATTAGCTGCATTTACAACTGGATCAGCATTAAATATAGGTATGGGACAAATTCCAACATTAATGGGTAATAATAAATCCTTCGATACACGTCAATCAACTTTTCTTGTCTTCATTAATTTTTGGAAGCATATTACATATTGTAATTTAAATGCTGTTCTTGGTTTAACAGCATTAACTCTTCTTTATATTATTCGTTATGCTTGCACTCGATGTATGCGCCTTTATCCGCAGCGTGAAAAAGTTTTCTTCTTTATCAATACACTTCGTACAGTATTTGTTATTCTTATCTATTTATTGATTTCATGGTTAATTAATCGAAATGTTCCGTCTAATCCACACACAGCTATTCTTGGTAATATTCCTCGAGGCTTTCAAAATATAGCTGTAACATATATTGATCGACAATTATTTTCTGTATTATTACCGTATGTACCATCGGCTGTTGTTGTTCTCGTTATTGAACATATTGCTATTGCTAAATCATTTGGTCGAATTAATAATTATATTATTAATCCTGATCAAGAACTCATTGCAATTGGTATAACAAATGTTTTGGGTTCATTTTTTGGTGCTTATCCAGCAACTGGTTCATTTTCTCGAACAGCAATTAAATCTAAAGCCGGTGTTCGCACACCATTAGCTGGTCTTATTACCGGTATTCTTATAATTCTAGCTATTTATATTTTAACACCAATCTTCTTTTGGATTTCACAAGCTAGTTTAGCTGCCGTTATTATTCATGCTATTGGCGATTTAATCGTTGGACCCGGTACATTAAAACAATTTTGGGAAATTAGTCCAATTGAATTTCTTATTTTTTGGATTGGTATTATTGTGACCATATTTACAAACATTGAAAATGGTATATATGTAAGTATTATAGCATCAGCTGTTCTTTTACTCTATCGTATTGCTAAAGCGCAAGGAAAATTTCTTGGTCGAATACAAATGCATCAACTTAAATTCGTATCGGATAATAATGTTCATTCAACTAAACGAAATATTTATGTTTCATTTGATCATTGCGAAGGAACAAATCCATTGATTAATCCAAGTTTACGTAAAAATGGAATATTTATTTTTCGTTTCTATGAAAATTTTCTATATCCAAATGCTTCGAATTATATGGAAAAAATGGTCGAACAGATATTTAATGAGACTAAAAGTGGAAAAACTATTCCTTATAGAAATCTTGGTGAACAACCTTGGAATTTACAAACAAGTCGTCATCCAGAAAAAGAATATCATCCAAATGAACATCGTCCTCGATTACATGCACTTATTCTAGATTGTACCGGTGTTTCAGATATAGATATAACTGCTTTACAAAATCTTGTTGATGTTCGTCGACAATTAGATAATTATGCTGATTGGAAAGTTAATTGGCATTTTGTGGGTTTGTCAAATCCATGGGTTAAACGTGCACTTATTTCACGTGGTTTTGGATCTACAGATTATGATCGGACAGTTTTTGCAATAGCAAATACTGATAAAAATCTTAATCATGAAGATGATAGTGATGATGATCATGAAAGAAATAATGTACAAATAGAAGATTATTCATCTATTGATCTTTCATCGAATACGAATGCGGCGTTATTACCAATACTTGATACTGATATGGCGTTATTTCATGTTGATATTGACGAAGCGTATGCAGCAGCTATTGCCAGTCTACCCCTACGTCAAGAAATAGATACTTCAATTGCAACAGCGCCTTAAATTATACAAAATTATTAAACTGTGTGTTTAGCGTATTTTCTATATCTTTATTCTAGGATTTTTAAATTATTGTTGAAATTATTTAATTCATTATTTTTCATATAAAACGAAAGATTTCGATTCGAAGCAATAATTTTATTTATTCATCATAGTTTGAAGTTTTATTAGTAGACAGAATACATGAATTTTTACAATTCATTCGATAATATCTAGGACTGAGAGAAACTATAAAAAAAGAATAACGTTTCACCGTGATTAGTATTTCACAGCAAAATTTTCACTATAATAGTTCTTCATTTTGTCTTTAAAGTATAAAATTAAAATATTCAACTAAATCAGAAACCTAACTTTTCTATTTCTTTATAAAATTCTAACATTTTTATAATTCAAGAATTCGGATTATTTTAAAATCTTATCAATTCTCAATATTTTTTGAAGTTTTAATTATTCTGAAACTTAGTTTGACCTACGACACATACATCGATCGCTCTCTGTCTTCTACGAGTCATCGTTCTTGATTTGTTATATTAAAAATGGATACTGGAGAAATATAGAGTAGTGTCACAAAATGAACATTGAATTTATTTATTATTATTGTAAAAAACAAAAATTATTCAATCGTATTTTACATAGTCTTCATTTAAAAACAGTGGTATATTTTTTTCAGACTCTGTTAAAAATTCAAAACCAAACTTTTTATACAGTTTTGGTGCAGACTCTGCTCCACTACCTCGATCAGCACATTGTAAACATATAAGACCTGATTTATCATTATGATCTTTAAGATGATCATCATCATTCAAAAATACTTGAAATAAACAATTAAGCATATAACTAGCAATTCCTTGCGATTGATGAGATATAGCAACTACAATATCGGATAAATACGTTAAATTTTGATTGCTACTTGTTAACAGGCGTGCAAAACCAACTGGAAGAATACTTTCATTGGTATCCTTGTATAATATCATCAGAGTTATTGATGAAGAATCTATTCGATTTGCGGTTTCATTTTCATTAGTTTTTGTCAACCAAAAAGCATTTGTAGATAACATTTCGGTTAATGGTTTTGAATACGAATGAATTTCTTTTTTATTTGTTGTAAATGAAAATTTATTTTGATCAATGTTAATATTTTGTAATTGTTTTAAATCGTTTTTTTCAACTGCCATTATTGTTTTTGATTTAATTTTAATCATCTTTCTGTTGGAAAGCATTGGAATACGGTAGAAAACTTTAACATTGTAAATCTTTAAAAAAAATAGTGTAATATCGTTAAAAAATGTTCGTAATTCTTCATCGTCTAATGAAGACAAAGATAATTCTTGAAAGTCAACTAAAATAGTTTTTTCTATAGTGTCGACAACCCAAGTACCATGTGCAATTGTAACATTATTTCGATCAACTTGAATTGTAAGTTTATCTTGATTTAATTTAATATCCATTGTAAAAATAATTTTGTGCTGATTCTATCTCTTCAAATTTAACTTATTCACAAGAAAAAATACGATGCGATAGCTATATCTACTGTAATAGAGATGAATTGTAATATTTGTCTTATGCTGTTCTCTTCGTTTTATTTTTTATCTATACCTTTTCTTTTCTTTTCTTCAGCCCACGCTTTTGTTTTTATAATTAGCTTTCTTTATTGTGACACCCCGGAGTGCTAATAATTAGTACCATAGGGATTGGCAGCTGCTTGTAATAATGAAAAGAAAAAATAGATGACAAGAAGAAAGAGAAGACAATAAAAAAAAAAAGAAATTTAGCAGTGATAAGAGAGACAGTGAAAATATCTAGGTCAGAATGATGAGTATCATCACCACGCCTTAATATGAGTCTTCATCATCCTAAAAATTCAAGCCAGTGAAGGAGTAGGCATTGATGCCTTTCACGTAACAGTTTGATTCGTTTTTACTTTTATAAAAAGCATTCCAATAGAAAATATCGTTGTAAAAGATCGAGCGACTCAAGTCAGATTTTTCAATTCGAGTTGGTCTTTTCTTTATATATCTTTTTACATATATTTCTAGGTTAATTTCGATAGTAGATCTTTAACAAACGCTGCAAGGTGCGCATAGAAGTGGATGAATGCTGGACTTTTTATTTTATTCATGTTCATATTTATATACTAATTAACGTGTTTCAATAAAAGATACTTGTCCCTGCTTAGAATAAATCTCAAAAATGAGAAAAGAAAAGAGAATTTATGTTGATTGTTTTCATCGGTAGTAACACATATTTCTACTTGTCTGATTTTATCTCAAGGGTACCAATCGACAAAAAAGTGTCGAGGGATAACAAAGAAAAAAACAGCAATCTATTATTCATTTTATGATTTCAGTATTGTAAATAACTTAAAATCAAGTCATTGAATGACAAATCTCAAATTATTATCAGTTTGAAGGACGACGGGTCAAAATTTTCAAAACTCGAAATTCTAATTAAGTATGCACTAAAGTTGAGATGTTGGACAATTTTTGATGTTACAAAAAAACTACATCATTTTTTTCAAAGTAATTTACAAGATCGCATATCAGACATTTACTATCTAAAATATGAATTAAAATATGAACTTGAATTAGAACTGAATGAGCTATTTAATTTGGATTATAGCTTTTTAATATAATATGTTACAATATCCTGCCTCAAAATTAGACGCTTAGTAGATAACGTATTATGTTGTAAAATGAACTGTTTGATTACACAAAAAACAAAGCTAAACGATTTTTTTTTTCAATTTTTTTGTGAAATTCATAAATAATCTCTTTCCGAGAACAACTGCGGGTTCAAGCATAAGGCAACGATTTTCGATCCTCATTTCTTCTATACTCTCTCATAGTGATCGATGAGAAAAGCTTAGAATCTATCAGGTTTACTAAAGGTTTCTGAGATCTTAGATTGATGTGCTTGAGCATGTGAATTATATGTATCTCTGAATGACACAAAGTCCTAAATATTTCTTCTTACAAAAATAAAACTATATTGTATAGGTCGTTTGCAAAAATGATTATTTTTCGAATAGTTTATGTTATAGATATACGAAAGATAAAACGTGTATGTCTATTAATGAATCATTCAGGTATATCAACAAGAAAAAATACGAAGGAAGTGACGACGTATCATTGAGAAAAAGAACAATATGCGTGTTTTTGCGTAGAATATAATATGTTGGAAAAAAACCACCTATGCGTGCAATACTATATATATTCAAACAAAATAATAGCATTTGCGAACGAAATTTCAAAAAAAGTAAATATATTTTTCGGATGACTGAAACATGTCTGAATTTTTTTCCACATCATTGGAAACCATCTATATGCCGCGATTGTACAAAAATGGAAGATGAGCATGTGATGGTTCATATTCCTCAGATTGTTGGCAAGTCATCAAGTAAAATATTATTACCATCACGTCAAACAACGAATGATAATCATCGAAATCATACAATAATAGTTTCACAGCATGAATCTGATCATCGTTCAGACGCTGATACACATCTACTTGATGATAAAAAAAAGAAACAAATTTCAAAATCAACCGATAAATTAAAACGAAAGAAAAAACGTGATCAACGAAAAGATGATGAATATCGATTCATTGAATTAGTAGAAAAACAGGTTCAAGAATTGATTGTACAATTGGATTTAAAAAATGAAGAAATAAAAAAATTACGATTAGATCAAACTAAAATGGTTCATTATCATGAAACATTAGAAAAAGCTTTAATTGAGGAATTAGAATATCGTGAACGACGTGAATTAGAACGACAACATATTTTAACTATTCCACGACGAACACCTTCATATTGGGGATCTAATGCTTTTTCAGAATCCTATCGAGAAATTCTCATTTCAAATAAATCGAAAGAGTTTGATATTATTAATAGTTTAGTTAATTCAACTATTAGCAAACATGGAAATCGATATGGAACTATTAATGGACAAGATCCAACAGCATTTGTAGTTAAACAAATCAAACGAATTCAAAATATACGATTATGGCATGAGTATTGTTATCAAAAGGTACGCGATAGATACTTGAATCAAACTATTGAATATGATTGTTTATTTTAGGATAGTATTATCAATAAAAACAATACTCAAATAACTGATTGTGGTAGTTCAATATATTTGGAAGGCAATCCAATAGCAATGCCTTTATTAGATAAAAATGCAAATGAATATTGGCTATTTCATGGCTGTGATCAAACTCATATACCTGATTTATTACAAATTGGTTACGATCCTCGTATATCAAATTCATTAGGTATATTTGGTGGTGGTTTCTATTTAGCTGAAAACTCTTCCAAATCTAATCAATATATTCCATGTCCTAGATGTGGTGGAAATAATCGATTTAGTCGCGAAGAATGTTCATGTCCAAATGAAAGTGATTTTGTCTTCTCAATCATTCTCTATCGTGTTGTATTAGGTGATGTACATATAGCTTTTAAATATGATAAAGTAAAATATTGTGAAGGTGCCATGCAAAATGGTCGACAAATCAATATTCGTCGACCTCCGAAGAAAGCCAATGGTCATAATGTTTTTGATTCAGTAATGGGTGAAAGTATAGAAAATGGTGGTAATTATTTACAACATCGTGAATTTGTTATCTATGATCGAGGACAAGCCTATCCGGAATATGTTATTGATTTTCAAAGATCCACTGACGATACAAAGCCAGCAATTGATATAAAACGTTTGCAGAAAAAATGTCAACATTTTTTAAAACATACTTTTCGATCTGTACCTGAATAAATATTTAATATTTTTTTCAGACTAAAAAATTATCTTATAGAGGAAAATAATGGCGAAACAATGTATAGATTTCACCTAGTATAACCATTATAATTTATTCTTTGTCGAAGTCTAGCTTAAGCATCTGTAATTGAATAGATAATTTAAAAAATTGAAATGTATCAAGAGCAAATGTCTTGTTAAGAAACCACAAATCAAATTTATTGAATGAGCGAAGGCTGAATAATATATGTTTTATACCATTTTCAGTTCGCACAGATAAAATGTTAAAACTACTGAAATATACAAACTTATTTACTTGCATGACGGATGCATTTTACAATGTTTTATCAGAATTTTCTCACTATGTCACATCTCTTCAGAATATAATTATCTTAAAATATGCTAACATTCATACAGTTCAATTCAAATTTGAAGTTAAGCTTATATAGAAATTCAAACCTAGAAGAACTCGGAGTTCTCTAGTAAATATATGTGAATATTTTATTCACATTTATATTCAACCCATACTCACATCGCCTGATGCCCGTCGAAAATACACAATAAATCTTCCCACTTGCATGCACATACACACACTCATTGCCAAACATGTAAATGTAAATAATGTGTTTCTCCTCGTTATTTTATCCGTATGCTTCAAAGTCATGATTTCACTCTTGTCTGCTTGATTATATGCGTATGGTATGGTATGGTAGAATGTTTTTCAAGATTAAATCAACAGAAGAATAATTACATATGTGGGCAGTCAGTAAGCTTCTTTCTGCTTTTTTATGTTTGCGAATTTGTTGTGTTAAAATATTTTTCACTAAAGATGTAAAAGCCATTATGCAGAATGGTATTGTTTTGTTTTTCTTGCATAGAACAGAAAGAATATATAATTATTTAAAGAACATACAAAAATTTGCTTCATCGTAGCGTCTCGCTGGAATCGAATCAGTAAGCATTGAGAAAAGTTATTGATGCAATCTTCTTGACGTTGAAATGTGTAGTTTATACATATTCTTGAGTTTGATTAAGTTAAGACAAAATATGTACAGTGAATTATCTTTATCGACTATAATTCTTTTATCAAGAGAATAAATTATCAGAGTCAAGATTTATCTTATCTTCTTGCTATATTTCGAACATATACTTTTTTCATTTCTTTACTGTTACATTATTTTTGTCTGTATTATTCTTAGTTGCTCGTTCTTTTTTAATTTCATATTTCTGTTCTGTTATTTCAATGTTAGTATTATTTTTAACATTAAATTCAATAGCAAATAAAGTTTTTTCAAATCTGTATTCTAACAACAATAAGTATTAGTCAGTTTATAATAACTAATACAGAATATTTTTTAGAATTATAATGTAATCATATGATAATAGTAGCAAATATATATTAGAGAAAAATTTAAAAAGATACAGGTGTGATACTATTCAGTAATACATTCCAGTCATTAAAATTCAGTCGACGACTACTAAAAATGACAGATTTAGTTTTTACGATTAAGATGACGCAGGTAGAAAACATTCACAGTTAATTGGCAAAAGTAAACGAGAGTCAAGATGGGAATGATTGATTATAATAGATTTTGTAACGAATAGAGAATAATTTGAAAACTTGAGAATGAGTGTGACTTTGTAAGCATGTAAGTGTACTACCCTGTTAACTACGAACTACCATTGAGGGCAACAGTGTAGTTGAACATAATGTTGTGCCAAGACGGAAAGTATTGATGAATGCATGAGTATTTCACATAGAAGCATCACTACATACATTTCGAGATAATAATTTTTTTTATGTATCTTTATATTTATAATAGAGATCAAGATTACGATCTAAATTAATACAAATACTTATATCGATGTCATCGAGTTCATCTTCATACCAACAATATGGTAATCCTGTTTTATATACTTTCGTTGGCTTTACACTTCAACCTTATTGGTTAATTATTGCTGAAATGCTTTTTCTTCAGGCACTACAACGTATCAATAGTCTAATTGGAACCTCATGTAAAAAGCAGAAGAAACACGTTTACATTGCTCTTGAAATCACAATCCTTGGGCCTAAACGAACAGGTAATTAATATTTATTTTTTCTAAACAATACAATTAATCCTTGATTATCCATTTCATCTGATAAATAATTAATTTCTAAACCTAGAATTGTCATTAAAATTATAAACGTATCTTTTAGGAGTTGCACCATTGAAATATAGTGTATTGGATTTTTTTCTCTCACTTGTATCTGTCGGCCATTTCGTTTATTCATGTTATTTGCAAACAAAGTGCTCATCTGCTGCTAATGCAAATTCTTGGAATTGTTACAATGCTTTTGGTTATCGACTCTACAATTATGTTCTGCCAAGTGTCGTATCCATACTTGTTGATTCTATTGTTCAACTTGTAAATACTTACAGAGCACATCAGGAAGATAAAAAAAAGGTATTATTAAGGGTAATATTAAATATGTCAAATGGTTTTTACTTGGTACAAGTATTACTTTGAATTCATTAGTAGCTATGGTATTTATTCCATTTTTTGTCAGCAATGTTATACCTATGTTAATTATATATTCATGGATACTGGTTGTTATCTTAGTTGGTCTAATTTTGCTATACGCAATCGTCATCACTTCTGTAGTGAATGCCATAAGAAAATGCGAAGGTTGTGGTTGTATATATTGCGGAAAATTCTTCGCAGCACATTGTGTTGTTGGGCTTCAAGTGTTTGGATGTCTTGTTTTTAGTATGGCGTTTAATTATTCGCAGTATAGCTTCTATGGTGGAGATTTTAATTCAGTCCCATGGTATGAATATCAATCAAGAGACACTGTGACTTGGTTTCATAGTCTTAGTAATAGTTCGGAATTATTAACTCATAATCTTCTAGCTGCCTTCTAAAAAAGACACAACAATTTAACTTCGTCTACTTCATAAAAAACTAATTTATATTCTTTTATTTTAACAATTCAATATATTTTTTTACTAAATATCATTTAAAATCAGTTGTAAAAATGCTTTGCTAAATGAATAATAATAAAATTGTCGTTCAAACATATATTTTCTATGAATAGTATAGTTATGTATAACGAACGCTCAGACCCAATTTTAAAAATCACTCTCTTGTTCAACAGTCAACAGAATCAGAATCTTGTGATTATTTAATATCTGAAAATTATTGAATATAAGATTTAAATATCGGCAAACGAATTAAATTACACCGTAGAATGTGAAATTGATTAGGATATCGACACAGCTGAGGGTGGGTGTGGGTGATAATAGTATAACCACCCTGAACTGACACCCACGCCGTTCGAGAACATTCTTGTGGCTTCATTCAAAGAAATGGCATGCAAATTATCATTAAGTATGCGATAAGATTCAATTATAAAACATGTGTAGCAAAAATGTTACTATGAGACTCATAGGGTTAACAGACGGTAGAGCATTGAACACTGCACAAACACAGTTACAAATTATATTTAAACTTACTGTGATTGACAGTTATTTTTTAAATACTGTTTAAGATGAACTAGGCTTTTAATGAAAAAAATATCCACTGCCACCAATATGTAAACTGTTATTTATTTACTTTGAAAAAAAGGAAGTAGTATTCCGCTGTATCTCTATTGTATATCAATCAATCAATTTAGCCTGACTAAAACTTTAACACATCAAGTAGACTCTGATCAATCATAGTGTATGAATATTTTTGATCACCAAATCTATTATTAATAAATAGATAATACATTAATAACAATCCCATACACTAAAGAAAATACTACACAAAAAAAAAAATAAATAATGTTAATAATATATCATGGTAAATATACCGTATGAATTTTTGTTTGGACGGTCTGGAGCTTTTCGTATTCCCGATCGTATATGACGAGTTTCATCTTTAATTTTGTAAACGTTGAACATAATTGCTAGTCCAATAGAATGTTCGTATCTATATTCCTTAAGTCCAACTGGACCTATACAAGATCCAAGTGATGACACCAGCCAACACGATGATGTCTATTCTTGATTAGACATTTTTAGTATGTGATGATTTCTTATGGCAGAACATACTTTAAAAGTATTTTTAGTTAACTCGATCATGCAGATCGAACTGGATTATCTTTTTCTTATGTAACTTCGTTCCATTGATTAATCAAGCTTTACAACAAGTATATGATCTGCCATACATATATTATGCAAAACTCATAAAATGAACTCGCTATTGCGCACTACGTGCTGATTAGTTTGGTGATCGGTTGTACTTTTTTTGGTGATTAAAAGTACATTTTTCCATGAGATTGAGTCTGTCAATTGTTGACAATGACACTCGATTTTCAATAATTACATATCGCACTAATCCAATTCATCACATATAGAATACGTACAAAATACTTTTTTATTAAAAAAGAAACATGAGTGGTAAAATAATTAAATTTTATTTTTTATAATGGAATAATATTTTAACTAGCATGTCTTCATTCTTATGCGCATTTCATTCCAATCTCTACGGATCAATGTTGTAATATTATAAAACAGAAAGTTTTAATGTCGTCAATAAATATACTTTCAAACTGGGATGTTCATGAAAAGAAAACACCGATGCGTATCAGTGATCGTTTTAAAAAGCATTGGCAAGCATTATTGATTGGTCTTACGATTGGTGCCCTTTGCTCTGGGATAGCCTTGGCTGCAGTCACTACGTTACTTGTTGAAGGTAAGTTTGTCGAAGTTGTTGATGAAAATGATAATTATTTAATTGTTAACAGATGAACAAACAAGTACCACTATCTCAACATATTCAACTAGTTCAACAACAAGCACAACTTCCACAAGTACTTCGAGCACGACAGCAAGCACAACTTCAACAAGTACTTCGACAACAAGCACTTCGACAACAAGCACGACTTCAACAAGTACTTCAACTACAACCACAACAACAACAACATCTGTAACGGGTAAGAGAAATCTGTTGTTCTAAATAGATTATAGTTTCACCTATTTCATATAAGCTGTGTGAGAGACTATTTTGTAGAAACGAAAAAGTTTTTTATTGATCATAAAAATTTTGAAATTTGAATTCGCACTCGAGAAATTAGATGATTGTGAATGAACATAATGACATACTAGAAAGCTCTACACAACGAGCTCTATTTCAATAAGAATTTGAAATAAACTGAAAAAAAATATCATTTTAACTATTGTCGTAGTTCTTTCATGACTAAATTATGAGAAAAAAAAATATACCTGACATGGAAAGTCAAATACTGACAGACATGAGAAACAGTAGTATGGCTTACTCATCGAAAAGTATGTTTTAATCAATACTTTGAAATTGTATTACGCACTGAAAATAATAAAATAAAGTATTATATTGATTCATCTGTACGAAAGTCGAAATTAACTGAAAGTCATTTGAAACTTCTGTTAACATTATTTAAAAGAACTTATTCAAATAGACATAAAGTTGTGTTCATGCAATAAGTAACATATTACGAAAAATTCTTATTACACAATAAAATGATGGTATAATAAGTAAAATTGAATAACATCTTTCATAGGCGTGAGTAGAACGAATATTTCTAGACAAGCCACATGATATTGTCAGTTTTTTTTATAATAATACCATTCTCATTTTGAAATTTGTACTGACTTGATATTAATACAAAACTAAAAATAAAATTAACTAACGAATAATAGTAATAAGTGAATGTAATCAAATATATTATAACAGTATTTTTTAATTAATCATACAGATGCAGAAATCTTGTGGGGATTCGATAATAATGCACAGGACTTATATAATAGTTATAATGGTGTGCTTAATAATGGACCAACATATGAATCATCAACCTATAGTGGAATCGGTGCATGTCTTTGGTTGAATCAGTCGGCCAATCAATCGATGACGGTCAGCAGTCCACCATTTCTTAACATGACTTATACATCATTCACGTTTGAAGTGTGGCTATATGCAAACTCGCTCTATAATCTTAATCCTTATTCGGATAATTATATTATTGGTCAGTATGATCAGACTACTTCAGATCGCACTCTTCACCTTATGATTAGAAATCAACACGTTTTATTCGCTTTCTTCAACGACGATACTGCAAGCACTCAGGTGAGTAAAAATGGTATAGGTGTGAGTATTATATTCATCTCCCACCCACACCTACAAGAATACGAAAAAAAAAAACGAGAAAGTTGATATTACAATTACTTATAATTATTACATTTATTTTTAGATGCTGAGTACAAATACATGGTATCATATCGTAAGTTTAACTTAGACAAAAATAAGGTTACGGAAGATATATATATATGAGATATTATTATAAATTATAGGCATTTATCTATGATTATCCAACACGTACTCAGTTCATCTATATCAATGGTGATTTGGATATATCACGCAGTGGAAGTGGCCCGTATTTGGGCTTATCAGGGTAAGTAGTGAATCATTTGAGTACGATAGAATACTTTGAGGGTGTGATTGTGGATGTGGGTATGAGATAGAAATAACACACCACACCGTCAACAATGATATTATTAATCCATACTAATGACAAGCATTTTATTTTTTTAGTGATTTAACTATTGGTACAGGAAATATAACTATGCCGGATAACTATTTCGATGGTTGTCTAGATTCTATTGCATATTATCCTTGGGCAAAGAATGCTACCGAAATAATGAGTGATGCAAGTTTCGTTTGCTACCTCAAATTCGATGGAAATAATCTTATTGATAGTGGACCATTATCGATCAGTGGAACAGGAATGAACTATTCCTATACATCATCAGGTCGTGTTAATCAAGCTCTAACACTTTCTACATTATCATCTTATGTTCAGGTTACAGGCTTAACACGAATAGGAATACATGATTGGCCATATACTGTTTCTATATGGATCTATCCAACGAATACTTCTGGTGGAACAATTATGCATTTGAGCAGTCGTCTCGATGGTGCTCAAATCAACGGTTGGTGTTTACCTATTATGGGTTTAACTTCATCGGGAGCCATAGCTATCAATAGTTGGAATAGTACCAACATCCCAATTAACGGACCATTTGTTCCTCTCTTCACATGGACTCATGTTGCGGCTACTTATTCACATAACAACGGACAACGCTTATATGTGAATGGTAGCCAATATGGAACAAGTTCTCTTCCATATACTTTCAACGCTGGCGGAGTTCCGATGACGATTACACTTGGAAGTTCACTGCTAGGATTTAACGTTTGTAATACAGGTACAATTCAGATGGGACAATTCTACGGATCACTCGATGAATTTCAGATTTATGCACGTGAACTATCGTCATCTGAAATTTATGTTCTTGCTACTCCATGAATGATAAATATGGTTTATCTTAGACAGCTACTCATTATACACAAGCCCTTTTACTTCGAATTACATTTATTTCTTTTTTTTTCTATGTAATAGAAGAATGTTCATTATACTAATACTGAAATATAATATCAAATAAATTTCGACAGAAATATCAGATCTTTTTTTTCTTTTTGAAAGTTTAGGTGTAAATGTGAATTATAGAAAATTCATTATTGTATATAGGAAGAAAGTTAGCATAGCTGGGAGTAAGATGATGAACTCATATTGCCATTCGATATTAATGAAGAATAACGTATGCAGTCTTAAAATCAGAACAGATAATGAATTAGACAAAATGCTAAATATTTTCTGAATAAACTCGTATAGTTACCTTATTACATGAGAAATCAAATAAAAACTCAGCAATCTGTATTTCCGTAGAAGTTTTTTCAAGTCAGCAATGTTCATAGCGATTAGAAGAGCAAGAACATCGAATTGACGAAAAAATACATGAAACTGCAGCTTGAAATCTAGTTGTAGTTTATATTTAGAATAGAATAATTGAGTGATAGAAAGAATGTTTATTAGCCAACATATAAAAATTGTATTATTATTACATTTAGCACGATTACAGAATATATTGATCATATCTTCTGTTATTCAAGTGATGGCAATAACTATTCATCGTACATATAGTATTTTTACATTCAACTTCAGTTAAATTTGGCGTAATATTTGAAATTCTTTCAAATAGATTGCACATTAAATTGGGCTAATGCAAAAACGAAATATTCGTAAAGGAAAGATTTCATCTATATATGTATATGTGTGTGCCGTGTGATCTTTTTGACTTTTTAGAAATAAAAATTATTACACAAATTTTATCTTTAACTAATGTCATATTCTTTTATATCAATATGAATATCAGAATTTAGAATTGAAAATAAATGTACTTGTACAATAAATAAGCATAGAAATATACTGAATAAAAAATAGAAAAAATAAAAATATTTTATATTTATAATGTAGTAGAATTATAATTATTTTCTTTTTGTTTATTATTATGATTATAGCTATAGATAATGAATAATAGTTTACATAGTATATTTATCTTTAATAGAAATGTTTTCACATTATTTTTTTTTATCGTTTTCTATATAAATAATAATTGTTTTATTTAAATATTAAAGGACTATTTACAATCGGTTTATATTGAATAATAACATCATAAAATGTCATAATGTATTTTTAAATGGCAACTACTTTAAACATACTTGAGAAGAATGAAATATTATGTTTAAATCATAAGACTCTATTTCATGAATAATTGTATCATTGGTGTGAAATAAATAAATTTAGTCTGGGTAAATAAGTATACGACTAATAGTATAGTCTTCTGGCAGTTTATATAAAGCATATATTACTTTAATTTCAAGATCAAAAGGTCCACATTTTCAGTAAGTAATATTAGAATGCCAGCTTGTGAAGCAGCTTATCGAATTAAAAGATATATCTACCATATTTAGATTTTTATCGATCATGAACAAATTGCTTTTTGTTGTTGCTTTACTCGTTTGTATTTTCGTTGAGAGAAGTGTGAGCGATGGTAAATTTGATTTTCCTGCAGAAGCATGCGTTACTGCTCTAACAGGAAATTATGTTGGTTGTTTAGGTGCTCTTGCTCAATCTATTTGGACGGTTAGTCAATGGGGTGACGCTACACCAATTACTATTTGTGGCAATCAATGTTTAGGTAATTTGAAAGGAAGAATTTCAAAACTGAAATGGAAATGGGATGCCAAATTTCAATGTCAAAATAAAGGTCAAGGAATTCAGGGTGGATCGACAGCATTAAGTCGTAATGGAGCCATGCAGGGAGCTATTCAAGACTGGATTACCAAAGCAGTACAAGTTGGCCAAATCAATGCTGCAGATTTCAAGTGCTAAGATATTCTTTTGAATAGACATGAATTTTATCTTTTAATTTTTGTGTCTTAAATATAATTTCTGTTGAAGGGCGTGGGTGTTGTTTCTATCTAATACCCCCACTCACACACCCACATTTGGTAGTTGTATTCGTAATTATAAAAACTTTAATAATTAATCTCAAACATTGCTACTTGTATAAACTCTAATATCAATTCGTATAAGTTTTATCTGTAAAGTCTATTATTAACTGTAAGCGGTTCGCTTAATCTTAAGGATGTAGGTGGGAATTCACGAACAACTGAAACCCACATCCACTCTCATACTCACCCTAGTGAACAATTTTACAGCCCAAAACTCCTTGTTTCATTTATTATTATTATTATTATACTCTATGAACAGATTGGAAGGTCAATTAGATGTCTCTAACGCAAGAAAGAAAGCTTGATAACACGAATCCTTTGGGTTTTCTTTTTTTCCATCATGATGTTTAGTACGGAGCAAAATTTAATCTCAAATGGGCACTATCACTTGAATATGTTCATTCGTAAGTATCCCAAGCATGCGTTCATGACAAGCAGATGACAATATACGAGATATTAATTTATATTTATGTGCAACAATTTCAAATATTTCGAACAACTCGTAAGTCGCTGACTACGATACGACGATTTGGAAAATATTCAGCAAGTGTATATGAGTTTCTAAAAATTTTAGAAACAGATGTGTATGTTAAGCTTACGCATTTAGTTAGAATATTGTAGTCATTTCATGTAATTACATTATGTGAGAAAACATATAAAAAAGAGTAGTTAGCGTGCGTCATAAAACGCTTAGCTTTTTGTTCAATCATTTATGAGAGTGTTAACGTTTTTATTCTGCGTCACGCACAACGTTCAGTTGGTTCCGTTTCAACGTCAACAAACACATCGCTTTCAAAGAAGACGTATGTTCGCCTATACTAGTGTGCCCATAAAAATAGAAAGAAAAATACAAAAGATAACACCTTCCGTCTGTACTTGTCGTTTAACTCAAAACTTGAGTACTGCGCATTTTATAGGACAGAACCATTCTTTTCTGATGAATTAGCACGAGTGACAAGGAAAAAACTGCGCAAAAAATCTGCAAATTATTTTTATTTCTTTAACGTGAAGAAGAAGCAACTAATCTATTACAATCAACGATATCTACTAATAGTATATATAAAATCGATTATATCTTGGTAAGTATTGTGCAATCTATTTCTGTAATAAATTATTCTTTGACTGGAGAAGACATTTTTGTTTTCATGAAAACTTACGAGGGAACCGCCCGAGGTGATTTAGAGCTTTCCTGTTGAGATTTTTCGCATAAGGAGAGTCCGATGAAGTTAGGCAAATCCTAAAAGGATAAGGGCCCATGTGCTCTAGCTTCTTGAATTATGACCATTTTGTTGGGCATATTGTCAATGATAGGGGATTCACTAAAAAACCCTACTATCGAATTTTGAGCTGAAATTTTGCCCGTAGATAGGGCTAATGACTCTTAGAATATCCTGAAAGTTTCAGCTAAAAAGAATTTTCTTTTATCGCTTGAATCTTCAACACATAGTCGTTTGCCACAAATATGCTACAAAAACGAGTTTATTTTAAAAATCAATATCTCGACAAAGGAGAATTTTTTTCGGCTGAAACTTTTAAAATATTCTAAGAGTCATTAGCCCTATCTAAAGGCAAAGTTTCAAGTCAAAATTCGATAGTATGATTTATCCTTTTAGGGTTTTTCTAGCCTTGTCGGACTCTACTTATGCGCAAAATCTCAACAGGATAGCTTTGAATCACCTCGGACGAGTCCTTCGTTAGTGTAATTTCTCCGATATTAAACTGGAAAATGTGGTAAATTAGATGAAGACGAAAGGATTTCTTTTATTTGTGTGTCAGCATCTGAAACGTAATGAAAAGGCCAGCATGTCAATAGCTGGTTAATAAATTAAGAATAAGTCCAAGACTTTCTCACCATATGTTGCCACAATCATTTATATTTGAATTTTACAATAGATTAGCCACACATTACTAATCAATTTAACGTACTATAGAGATCTATTGGCCTGAATTTTGGTGTGCTAACTATTTTTCGCATTAAATAGAGAACAATGATTAATTGCTGTTTGATTTCTTCGTCTTATAGATCGCATAACAGCGAAATGATGATATTTGTCACTGTTGTAGTAATGTTAGCTTTTATTGAAAGAAGCCATGCATACATATTGCTATATAATACTGAAGCAAATGGTCTATGGGAGTACAATGATTGTGTTTACTACAATTCCCGTTACAATGACACGACAAAATACTGTGTTCGGCCTGAAAATAGATCTGCAACAATCGAGTGTGCCAACGGAGGTGAAAAATGGCTTTTTAAAGACTTGCTAGCAAATAATATCTCACCTCGAGATGTTTTAAGCTGGAGTTCAAGTATAGAAGCAGCAGATAATTATGCTTACGTATTCTATAATAGATCGGTAGTATTCTCAGCGGACACATTTCTTTGCAAATGCACGCATAATATGTCATTCGGAAAACATTGCGAATATCTACTTTTTAGTGCTCTGACTATTGAAAATGCTATTAACCTTCAATTCGTCATAAAATTCAATAAAACAGAAAATCAACGCTGGGCTGCCATTCTATGTTATGAGACATTGTCATGTAATTTTGGACTGCTTTGTCTCGACTGGAGAAATATATGTGATGGAGAGCAACAATGTATGGATGGACTCGACGAGCAAAATTGTGATAAACTGGAATTTAACGAATGTGAAGAAAACGAGTACAGATGTACTAATGGCATGTGTATTCCAGAACTATATTTTCTCGATGGTAAATAGTTTTTATAATGACAGACAAAGAAAACAATTCATCTATCTGTGATAGAATATGTCTAGAGTAATAGTAGTTGTAATATTTATGAGTAACTGACAAAGATTTGGCATCATATTTGTATTCGTCTCAAAACTTCACATTCAGACTGTTTCTATCGAGTTCGTTTCTTTTCAAAGAAAAATGTACATATTTTTAGACAACTATGCTGTCTCACAAAACTATTTTTTAATTCTTAGGCGATCTAGACTGCATGGATCGTAGTGATGAACCGATACAAAATAACGTCGCATGCTTTACGACGCCAGCAGCTTTTGAATGTGACGAATATGTGGATTCTAGATCTCTATGGTCATGTGGTGATGGGGAACACATTTTTCCTTGGGCGCGGTTTCCATTTCAGCGGCTAACTACGATAAGCGCGGATTGTTCTAATTTCCGCAATTTGAATTATATATGCGAGACATCACGATATGTGGCTGCTTGGACTCTGCCGAATGGAAAGTGTGAATTTGACCGAAATTACGATGATCCACGTTTCGATGGGACAACAGCTAATATAAGCTCGACGGAGATGTGTATCTACTTGTTGAAATGTGGTTTGACAAATGGATTTGAACGCGATTGCCCATGCGGTCGAAATACATCATGCTATAACTTAATGATGTCATATTGCCCTAATCCGCAGTGGATTCAATTTCCCAATATGGGATTAATTCGTCCGTATGTTCTCACTTACTATATGGCACAGGAATCTTATCCTGACAAAACACCTGCATATTTCGTTTTTTCCGGTACAATTCAATGCCGAGGCTATCGTGCCGTAGCATCTAGTAGTATGAATATTACTATATTTTCGAATTATCTTTCACTATTCATATTATCATCAACTAAAGACTTTTTCTTTTGTTCAAACACCTTTATTCAAAAAAATACGTCTTCTCCCATCAGTTATTTTCCTGCTAATTGTTGGAATGATTCGCGTACTTTCTCGAATCATTCATATCATCATATTGATATATGTCTTAATTTTCAACAATGTATTTCTGCATATCGCATCAATGACGGAAACATCGACTGTGCAGGTCCAGGAGATGAAATGGTTAATATTGCAATGTCCCCATGTGCGAAGCTACAAAGACATCGTTTTCAGTGTTCTCCTCTTCAAAAAACCTGTTTTTCCGTGCGCGTACTCGCTACAGGTAATCTTTGTACGAATAAATTCGATCGATACGTTTATGGAACTGGTATATTGGTCAGTAGCATTTCATGCAAGCATCGAAATGATGACGGTTGTCGTTTTCTTAAGACATACGTGGAAGAGTCATCAAAGACGAAAATAAACGTTAGCTCGATCGCTGAATCAATCGAAACTCTGCCTCATAGATTCTACTGTGACAGCCACTGGGATGTCTATCCATCGATAGACGAAAAGACAGAATTTTGTCAAGAATGGACATGTCGAAAAAATTGGTTTCAATGTAAAACGCATCAATGCATTCCTCTTTTTCACGTCTGTGATGGTGAGTGGGATTGTAGTGATGCAAGTGATGAGCAAGCCATTCTCTCCTATAAAAACGTCATGGATATTAATCAAGATATTCAAAACTTATCAAAAATAATTGAAATATGTAAGAGGTTCTATTCAAAACAACCTTTTTCTGATTTCTGCAATATTTCGAGCGAGTATCCATGCCTACTCGCCAATGTAACAAATCCTCTTGATATTAAACGAAATCGACCGTGTATCGATATGACATTAATCGGAGATGGTATTTATCATTGCCACGGTGGTCTAGATGAACGAAATACAGCAACTGGCTGTACAGGTAAGATGAAAGGCTTTGATTTTTATTGCAAAACCCGACCACATTGTATTTTGCATGGTTCTTTGTGCGGCCATCGTTGTCCAAACAACGAAGATGCAGCGTTGTGCTTTTATAAGAGCAACTCCGATATATGTAATGGCCAAGACGATGCAGTTTGTTTTGATGGTCAATGTATAAGAAATGGACGTTGTAACAAAACATACGAGTGTCTGTATGGAGAAGACGAGTATTGGTGTAAAGTAGCTGAACTAAATTTCAACTATCGTTTTATTAAGCATCAATTACAAAAGCAACTTCTCAATGAAATTAGCTGGCCGTCTTTTCCAATCGAGCAAATTAATATATCAGTACAAACACAAAAATCATTATTTTTGGATACCAAGTTGTCTAGTCCACAGAACCAGTATCCAAACATACCAAGTTTTTTCTCTATATGCAATCGAGGATTGGCTGTAAGATATGCGGCGGATATTCAATGTATGTGTTCTGGAGCATACTATGGTAACAGATGTCAATACTTTAGTGATCGC